TTCTGTAAATCCTAATAAGAAGGTGCTGTTCCCACATAAACAGGTTGCTATCACTTATTAATATTAACTGTAAGTTAGGGTTCTGAAAAATAAGTAATCCCTCTAATTTTGTCCAGATTGCCTCGGGGCAAAATTAAATATTATCCTAATTGAGATGCTAGTATAGTTTCTATGTTCTCCAACCTCAGTTAAAAAATACTTTTACAAGTAAAGCAGTAGATGTACCAGGGAGAACTTGGAAAAGAAAAGAAAGCTTATCATCCATTTGTTACAGTGTGCCACACAACATTGCATTCCAAAGAGTACAATTTTACTTCTAACATGACATCACTAAAAAAGAAGTTGAAGAGAGAAATTCTGTTCCAGTGTCTCATTACTTGCCCCTTGGCACATTAATCCCCAAAGCTGTCTCTGAAAGGCAGGGACTAGGTGAGGGAATCAAGAGCATTTGCCAGATCCTTCACAGAATCAGGAATTTCTTAGACATGAGCTGGATAGCAGAACTCACATATGTTACCCAACTGGCAACAAGAGCAAAGAAACCATACAAGACAATAGCTGCCTCTATCAGTCAGGACCACACCACAACCTTACTGATTGCATATTCTTCAACTGGAAACACTTAGCAAAGAAATAACAAAGGAAGCCTTACTTCACAGCACCACCAACAGAACTTGAAGACCTACCAAGCAGAAAGGTTATCTTTCAAAAACAGACCACCAGATTTTCAGTTTGGTTCCCATTCAGCTAAGTCAACAAGAGTCACAGTAAGAAAAAGAACAAACAAACAAACAACAAAACCAGTCAAACTTCCATTATCAGCCAGAACTTCCCACTAAGCAAGTTTTACATAATTTCTCTGCCCTCCCAGCATATCAAGATAAGGAAATTCTGAATTCATTGCAGCTGACCTGATGAGCCTGGTAATTAGGACATGCAGTGTGGTCTTTGGGATGTTTAAGAGCACTAACCCTTTCACTGTCAAGCTCAAACCCTATTGTAGCTCAAAATGAGACTCCCAGTGGGAATTATTATTTGTGCTTTGAGTTCTTCACAGAATCACAGAATGGCCAGGGTTGGAAGGGACCTCAAGGATCATGACTCTAGCCTCCCTGCTACATGCAGGGCCACCAAGCTCCCCATTTAGTACTAAACCAGATTGCCCAGGGCCTCATCCAACCTGGCCTTGAATGCCTCTAGGGATGGGGCATCCACAACTTCTCTGAGCAGACTGTTCCAGTACCTCACCACTCTCTCTGTAAAGAACTTTCAACGTAAATTTTCTCTCCCTTAACTTAAAACCATTTCCCCCTTGCCCTGCTGTTATCTACCTTTTCAGGGAGTTGACTCCCCTCCTATTTGTAGGCTCCCTTTAGGTACTGAAAGGTTGCAATGAGGTCGCCCCGCAGCCTTCTTTTCTCCAGGCTGAACAAGCCCAGTTCACTCAGCCTGTCTTCGCAGGGAAGATGCTCCAGTCCCCTGATCATCTTTGTGGCTCTCCTCTGGACCTGCTCCAACAGCTCTCCGTCTGTCTCGTAATGGGAGCTCCAGACCTGGACACAGTATTCCAGATGGGGCCTCACAAGAGCAGAGTAGAGGAGGACAATCACCTCCTTGTCCCTGCTGGCCACCCGTCTTCTGATAGAGTGCAGGATACCATTTGCTTTCTGAGCTGCAAGGGCACATGCTGGCTCACGTTAAGTTTTTCATCAATTAGGACCACCAGGTCCTTCTCTGCAGGGTACTCTCAAGGACTGCTCCTTTGAGTCTGAGAGTCTTCCAGCTTAAGGCAGGTTGACTTTGCTAGGGCATACTGTGAACACAAAGTAATCACTGCTCTTGGTGGAACCCAACAGAGGAGCAGTCTCCCTGGCACCTTGCAGATGTGTACCAGTATGCTCGAGGTCAAAATGAGTCAGAATGCAATTCCCTCTTCCTCTCTGTTTCTCTTTATATTGTCATCTTTTTAAGACCATTGACGTTCTGCTTGTCACCCTGATCTTCCCCTGGACATTTTGAGTGTGAAACTAACTCAAAGCTTTTTTTCAAAATCTTTCTTGAAATGCTATTTAGCAACAGAGCAAAAACTCAGCAAGGATTGAATTGCTAATTTGCTACATTAAATGTCCCAGACAAAAAAAAAAAAAAAATGCTGGTTTATGTACCTTTGCAACATTCACTGTCAAAGGCAAAGATAAAACTGACTATAGGACCATTTGGTTCCATCATCCTTATTATATGTTCCTGGGCTTTTGCTATTTCATTCCAGGGCCCAGGATGAATTTTCTCACCACCACCCTTATTATATAACTGGGCTTTTTGGCACGGCTTTTTCTCTTGAAGAACTGGAGATTTCCACAGTGAGGGAAACGTAGCACTGTTTGCACTGATGCTCTTTATCGTATCTTTCAAGTGCTAGATTGATGTGTTTTTCATATTGACTCAGAGTTAAACTGATGTCAGACCATTTTCCAGGTCAGATTGGCAGGAACTGTTGAGTTAATTTGCCTGATTCTGTACTAGAAGAGACAGAGAATTCTGGGATCTTCTAGGAATTTTCCTTAACAAGAAAAGTTATTCTTCGAAGCCTCAGTGATGTTGACAGTATCCATCTTCTCTTCTGTTGTAGCCTGCTGGTTGTTATATTTGTGGCTTTTCCTTGTCTTAACGCTGGGCTTCATGGTGACTACAGAAGAGTGTTTCATGGTGAAATTTTGGCTTGTCCACCTTTAGCAAGTATTACACCAGTGCCCTGCCAGCAGAGCCATATGGTCACTTTCTCAGCCTGCTGTTACACATAGGCCATAAAGCCATGGCTGTCTGCTAAGATTATGATTTTGTATTAGTAAAGCCATTGGTCTGAGGGAGTCCTGGCCTTTCACAAGGCTTGTGGATACCATGATTTGCAAAGAAGATTTGCTGATAGAGGAGACAGAACTACAGTCTTTACAACCTGTCCGTTCCCCCATTGACCTGAAAAATACCAAGAAGTGCTGGTGTTGGATAGAATTAACTAACACATTTTTCACAGTGCTGAATATCTCCCTTACAGTGGTTGTAATAGCTCATTGTGAAAGATATGTAGAAAGGAAAGTAGTCACCTCTGTGAGTCATATGTCCCATTCAAAACCCAATTTAGGCAGCAGGTAGGCATGTTTTGGCACTGGGTTGGCCCTGGGGTCAGAACCAGCAGCCTACTTAGGGTCAGAAGTTGTACATTCTGTTACACATTTCTGTTAAAGGTAAAGAATTTGGAATTTTACATATTCTGTGGGTATACACACATTTCTGTAAAAATCAGGTAATAGGGGATTTGCAAAGGTACTAATTGGTTTAATGCATGTGAAGTAGCTTAAGAATCTCTTGGCAAGAGAGACTCTTAAAAAGAGAGATTTTGTATTTTCCAAGCGTATGTTATAGAAAGTGGCTCCTAGGGAGACAAGAACTTTTTGAAGACCCTAATTAATAGTATTTTGGCATCCATAGTACTTCCTCTTCCTTTTAGCAGTTTGATGCCAAGAATTTCCCATTCCACCAGTGTCCAATAAATCTCAGGAAAAAATTCCAGTGACTATTGGAGGTATTTGGAGGTATCTTTGCTTACTTGATGACTAAAGCAGCTAAAACCTTTTCATTAGTTCTTCCAATAGCTTTTCCTTTTGAAATATACAGGTTTAACCCCGAAACAAAGTGGCTGACTCTCCTCTAGGCAGATAGAACTAGAACAGATAGCATAGAACGATATCAGCACTCTGCTAGTTTAAGTCCTCCATGAGATCACTCACAGTTTGTAAACAGAAAACCTGCTATGCATGTCCCAAACTAAAAGGGAGTGAAAGTTGTAATTACTTCCCCTGGGGCAGAGAGAAGGTCAGTGGGAAGTCCAGGGCAAAGTCTGGGGCTTTGGACTCTCACTCTGTGGCCCCTTGGGTTGATCTTACTCCTATGCACCAGCTTTGCCTTTGTAAGGGGGCTGGTGAGACTCAATAAGCCATGTCTGACCAGTGAGTGGTGCCTAGGGCTTCTGAAAGATTCTTTCAGTAAGTGACTGTTACAAAGAAAGCACACTCAGTGTACAGATATCCCAAATTTTTGAGACCTCTGAGATAAATATAATCCCATTTCAAATTTATTTGCAAGTTATCACAAGTAATTTCTGTATGTCTTCAGTATATCTATATAACACATGTAAAGAGTCCATTGAAATATTTTGATTTAATAGTAATGAAAAACAAGGCCTCTGTAGAGGCACAGGTTGGATGTCTTCTTACCTTGCTTTCCCATAAAGTAGCAAGAACTCTGATGCCAGTAGAACTACATGGTTATGGCACTGGTGTGAGGTCTATCAGACCTGAGAAAGACCCTTTCCAATTCAGAGTGGAAACGATTGTCATCCACAGATAGAGGGAGCGAAGGTCATATTGAAGTACAAAAATTAGGTCTTTACCATTCATTAAGAAGTGTTTAAATTACCCTTAGAAAATCCAAGACAGATGTAGGTCTGAATGTTCCTTGCTATTGGTTGAAAGCAGGACTCTGTGTTGACTGTCATGTTAACTTGACTGGAAATTAAAAATTACTTTGCATTTTTCTCATGGTTTTTTCCTTTCTCCAACTTCAGTATTGTTCTTATAAATAGTTCTGTTCACAGAAATGGTCCATTCTCTGCTTTGTTCTTTCTCTTTTTGCCAACATATTCTAACTAGAACATGACTGTGGCACAATCAAACACAAGAAAGCAATCACTGCTTAGAGGCAAGGCCGTGGATGAAAGAACCGTGGCTCAGTATGCTCCCAGCAGTAGAATGATCATCTCTATCACGGTGCCCTCAAGAAACCTCTTTACTGATGACCACTGTATTGCTCCCCTCAAATGCACAGAATCCACATTCTTAATGAAAAAATCCCACGTTTTTTTAATGTTAATTTTATCCTCCCCCTGCCCAGATCAGTCTAGGAACAGTGTTGCATTTCATGTAAAATTTTCTTTTCTTTTGCAGGCTCTGAGCAGCAGTCTGTATAAGAGTGCATCTCCTTATGGCTCTCTTAACAACATAGTGGATGGGTTAAGCTCCCTTACTGAGCATTTTTCTGACCTATCCCTTTCTTCAGAAGCCAGAAAACCCAGCAAGAGGCCACCTCCCAACTACCTGTGCCACCTCTGCTTTAACAAGGGACACTACATCAAAGACTGCCCACAGGTAAGGAATATACAGTATTCTGGAGAAATTTTTGTTTTAACTTTGAACATTCCTTCATTTACTGACACAAAATTTGGCTGAAACTGTTCTTTAGAGTAACACTGAACAAATGTCTTGACAAAGTGCCCAGCTAACCATGTGTTCTTTTAATCTTTTCTTTATCACAATGCTGATGGAAAAAAAAAAAAAAAAAAAAACCTATTTAATTTGTCTATTAAGCATTATAAAGGATACTCATACAGGCACATGAAAAAGTAGAATTTGGAAACTTTAAAAATGGCTACTACGTTATTTTCCATCACAGAGACTGTGTAAATTAAATTTTCAAGCAGCACACCATATAGCCATTTTGGCAATGGCACTTAATAAAAAAATATAACAAGTTACATATGCTAAAGGAGAAGAAATTGTTACACTGGAAGGGAACTTTGAATTGGTGCTGCAGTAACGCAAGCTCCAAGTGAACCTGGTGCAAAACATCTCTTGTCTCGTAAAAATGGTTTGCTATACTTGGCAAGATGTGACGGTCTTAGATTCCAAGAACTTTTTTTTGTAGTGGCAAAGCTGGCAATACTTATTTCCATAGAAAAGAGATATAAACCTGTGTGCACTAAAAGCTCTTACTGATCTGCAGGTTTTTTTGTTTCCTGAGGATTCAAGCCACAGTGTGCAAGGCTTCTCCATGCTCTCCAGTTTCAGCTGGATGTACTTGTGTTTCTGGCTTAAACTTCCACAACTCCAACTGTATCTATGTAGTGTCCCAAGGAAATTCAAGTGCTGCCAATATTCTAGAAATACAGATGAGGACATTACTGTCGTCTGCTTTACTATGGTTTTAACCTCCTACCCCCTTAATGTGTGACTTTCAGCAGAATTAATCTGCATAGAATTAACTACAGCTTGTGGCAGTTGGAGATATCAAACACACATAAGCCAAAACACAGTCAGAAAAGCATTTGCCAGCTGAGCAAGGTCAGTGTGAAATCAAGTCTAATGTCAAATGAGCTTTAACTGAGTGTATTCCAACTGCTGCTATGCGTGGGCTAAATTGTTTTCTTCATGGAATTCAGCTGTATATCTTTCATTAATTCTAATGACAGCTGTGGAGCTTCAAACTGCATTTGTAGACCTAGGTGTGGCACCTGAAAATATTTTTACTTTACATTATTTCAATGTATGTTCAGTAAGGCAATTCTCTTGAGGAAAACATGAAATTTCCCTTACTATAAGGTCAAAAATACTTTGGTTTGTATACTTCTTTGTTTAATGTGCTTAGTTTAGTGTGCTACAGCACATATAGAGATAGGATTGTGTAACAGCGTGTGTTGCTTAACAAGGGTTTAGAACTCCAACTCCTAAGTGTGCTTCACAATGATGTAGTGTTGAGCTGTGGGAGATGGCTGTCCTGCTGCACAGGCAGTCAGATGGATGTAAATGTCCCTCAGTGATCAGCATGTCCAAGCTGCAGCTCACACTGATGGTCACAATCAGACGTGTCCGTGTTGGAGCAGAAATGCACCGTGTATTTCACAGGTATTCTTACAGTTTGTGCATTGGAGATTCAAGAACACATAATAAAAGTTGGAGATGCACCCACAAAAATTCTGGGAAATGAAAACTAATTAAGATTGTAGAAATATTGTAGAAATATTGATTTACTTAAATTGCACATCCTGGGTGCACAATTATTTTTCCATATATTAAGATTTCACTAGCAATGTCTTCAATTTCTTTGTGAACTGGGAAATGAAATGACTTCCTACAGAGCATACTCCATGGCTGGCTGACAAGCCAGTATTGAGAAAAGGGCTGCAGGACTGCCAGGCATCTGCTGCACCCATCCTCCTCCAGTTACAAGCAGCCATATCACGCACTGCCTTGCGTAAACCAGCGGAGTTTTAGTTGGGAAGAGATTCAACATTCTGCTGCTCTTGAGGGAAGCTGCTCCAGAATTTAAGTCCTCTCACAACTCACAATCTTCCAGCTTCCAGGGTAAATGTAACTTGTGGCCTCTTCACAGTCATTTGTTCTCATGCCAACATTGTCCTCCACTGAAATAACTCATCTCCCTCCCTGGTGTTTATCTCAGGATGTATTAATAGACTGCAACTGTATCCTCTCTCAGCATGCGTCCTGTGGGGCCAGCTGAGCCAAGCCTCCTCAGCCCCTCACAGAGGCACCCGGCCCCGCAGCTCCCATCTCTGAGCTCTTGTTCTGTTCTGTTTCCAACATGCACGGCCAGCGTGCACACACAGCACCCAGATCGCATCTCATCAGTGCGTATGCTGTGCATGCACCTGGCTGCTTCTACAGACCAAAGTTAGTTTTCAAATCCTACTTAAGGGGCAGGTGATATGAAATCAGCTCTTTGTTGCCGGTATCTAGCACATGCAATGTTTTGTGGTCTAGTGGTTTCTGAACACAGAAATGTAAGCATTTCCCTTATTTGCTCTAAATTTGAGAATAGATCTACAGGGGTGACCTGGTATGCATGAGCTACATTCAGAACTTTGAAAAAATTGTTCTCAAGAAGGGACTAGCAACAGTGGAACCAAACCTTTAATAGGGAGGCATCACTTGCCACCACAGCTTTGGATGGTAATTGATTTCTTAATTTCAACATTACACACACTTAATGACTTAGATTTTGATGCCTAGCTTTTCTAATGCTGTCAAAAATGGAAGTTGCTTTGCAAATCCTACCAGAAAAGGGATGCCGTTTTGCATTTTTGTACTTAGATTTGGAAACAGAAAAGAGATAAAGTAATCAGATTTGGACAAAATGCAAATCAATAAATTGTGGTATTTTTATTTTCTTTTCGTGTAATTGCCTAATACGAAGCAGATTTTGGAGTGGAGTGTTTTATGGAGTTTTTCCTGCATGACAAAGAAATTGTGTAACAACTTTGAGATTTTACATCCTCCCTTAATTCTGCTTGTTACAAACACCATAAAGATGAGCGTTCTTTTTTGGTTGCTGTAAAAGTTAACAGCACACCATACCAGTGGAAGCATGTACATTGCTTCAGATTTCTATTCTAAGTGATGGTGGTGATCTAGGAGGATGGACAGTTCTCACTGAAAAGGTCAGCTGTAGTCAGCTATCTGCAGTTTGTCTGATATCCTGTCCAAAATGATCTGCTTGGAAACTGAAATGGAGAAAACTTTTAGTTCTTCAGTAGGTAAGAATTAACTATTCTTTAAATAGTTTCTGTGATGTTTAGTGGTAGAAATCGTGGACTTCGTTTTAGAAATGACATGAAGCGGGAGCAATGTTGACTGCAATTCATCACCATGAATTTGTCTACATTTGCAAAACCTGCTGTAATTAGAATGTACACAAAAAATGCAGCACTTTCAATCTTTAGTAGCATGCAAGGATACTTGCATTTTCTCTAAACTAATTTTGCTTTTCCGTGTCTTAAATGATATCATCTTACCCATACCTCTCTGAGATACAGAACAATTATGTAGTATTTTTCCAAATTTTGCACTATACCTATAGAGGAAAATGCACGTGCAAACTCATAGGAATACAGATGTATTACTATATGTAATGAGAAACAATATTAGTCTCATTTTGTGCTGTGTTTTTAGCCCTGAATAAAAGATATGGCATGATTCAAATTAATGAATCCAATGAGAGCTCTTCCTTTGGCAACACTGATCTGCAAAGCAGATCCTGCAGAACAGAAGTACTTTGAGAAGACATATTCAAGTCAGTGGGAGTAGCAGGTAACCGATGTGACTGCCAGAGTTTGCACAGATTTACCTTTGTGATTTTATGTAGGATGTGGAACAAATCATCATCAAGTTGAGTGCAATCCATTTTCCCCAGCCTGCAGCCTGTTGTGCTGGATCGCCCTGCCCCAAAGCTGCTCCTCTTGTGATCAGGCAGAGCAGCTCCTGGCAGCACAGCTGGCTCAGCACTGCTGCCCAACAGGCAGCTCTGGGCTGCACGTTTACAACAGCTCTTGTACCCTAAGCACAAATCTCATTTGTCTTGCGCCTTACAGTTGGAAAAGGCAACCAAACGTCCTGAAAATTCAAGGAGCCCACAGCTGTCCTTTCCCCAGGTACCGAGGTCTGGCTGAGATGGCAGTGGGGAATAGGCTACCATCTTTACAAAGATAAAGATTTCACCTTTCTGGTTTTTAGCTTAGAAGTCTCAATTGAAAACCAACTGACCGACCAAACAAAAACCCACAAGCCTCTTGAAATCTATTTTTACAGTGGAAGACTATATTTCAAAAAGCCCCAAAAGTTAAAGGAGTCAAATACATTACAAAATTTATTGCTGGTTGCAATAAATTCTCATATGCTTATTCTTTTTCTCATATGCTTGAACTTAGCCCCGCCGAGTTTCTCAGCCTGTGAGATTAGCTGGACACATTTTCTCAGATCTTTTCTACTTTTACTATGAAGACTTGCAGAAATTTGTAACAAAAGTCTGGTGAACTGTAACTTAGTAACATTCACTCTATCTCTGGAAGTTTACAGTGCTTAATAGTCTGAAACATCAGAAGAAGCACATTACTCTCTGCTTTGGAAATCCTGAAAACTCAGTGCATGCCATGCCTTCAAACTGTTTATCAGGAAGGTGAAAACTCAGCCATGAGTAGGGGGATCCCCACAGTCCTGCCTGGAGAGAACACTCCCAAGTGCTGGGTATGAGACTGTGGCTGTTGTTTGATAAAGCCGTTGCTTCAATAGGAAATACCGAGCCCTAAAATACCAAAATAAGAGCAGTTGGTGAAAAAGAGAGCAGAAATATCAAAAGAACTGGGGTCAGCCCCTTTCCTGTCTATCAGGCTGCTTGATATTGCATTTACAAGCACTGGGAAACCACCCAAAAACAAACCTTCCTTTTGTATGATTGTACGATTCCTCAGTCATTATTATTGTGGCCCAGTCTTTATTACTGATATAAGTTTAAGCTTTTTTGTTTTTTGTGTGTGTAGGGGGTAGGGGGGGATGATAAAGGACCTGGATCATCTTCC